CCTCAAAAAATAAGATGAAGAACAACTGAAGAAGACATTCAATCTTTGGCCTCCACGCACACCTGCACACAAAGAAGAATTCATATACATGCATGTACTACAAACACACACAAACAAATAATAGATAGATGATAGATGATAGATAGGTGGTAGCCGGACTATAGATGATACACAGATAGATGATAGAGAAACAGAGAGACACAGGTAGGTAGGTAGGTAGGTAGGCAGGTAGGTAGGTAGGTAGAAGATAGTAGATAGATAGATAGATAGATAGATAGATAGATAGATAGATAGATAGATAGATAGATTATAGATAGATAGATGATAGGTAGGTAGATAGATAGATAGATTGTAGATCGATAGATGATCGATAGATGATAGATGATAGATAGATAGATAGATAGATAGATGATAGGTAGGTAGATAGATAGATAGATTGTAGATCAATAGATGATCGATAGATGATAGATGATAGATAGATAATCAGAACTCTCCCAGGCGTAGTGTTGCTGTGATAATTTCAAATGAAGTAGGAGTCTATTTGGCTCACAGCTCAAGAATACAGTCCATCATGGAGAGGGAAGTCATCATGCAAGATGAAGAGGCTGGTCACATTGCATCTGCTGTCAAGAGCAGACAGCTATGAATGCTGCATGCACCTCACTTTCTCCCCACTTTTTCTGGGAGTATAAGTGGTCACTATTCCCACAGCATTCACACCACCCTGGGGTGTAATTAAATATGTGGTAGGTCACTCTCCTGTTCAGTCGATTTCTCATTTTTTGTCTGACATATAGCACATATTCAACAGTGTTATGAAATTATTATCTAAATAAAATAACTAAAAAGAAGCATACCAGTCCTACTACTTTGCTGTGTTACAGAGAGGAGTCCAGAGCAGAATAGGGGGGCCCCTGCTGATACTCCTAACACTTGGGAAGCTGAGACAGGAGAACTGAAGCAAGCTGAGGTCAGCATAGGCTACATAGTGATTTCCAGGCCACTTGGGCTACAGAGCGAGACTCTGTCTCAAAAAAAAGCAAAATGGGAAGGAACAGAAGGAATGAAGGGAGAGAGTGAGGGAGGGAGAGAGGGAATGAGGGAGGGAGCCCAAGCATGAAGAGAAAGGACTAACAATCTGACAATGGCAAGCACATGAATGGATTGTTTGTTTTTAAAAGCTAAGTGGTTTAGGGAAAGTAGGGGGAGAAGAAAGCACATTTTAAAGTTCTAGCTCCAGGGCAAGTAATAAAAATGTTTGCTTTAAATTTTTCATATCATGAGCAACAGGAAGGTCTATTCCATCACACCAGCCTTCAGGGCAGAAAGTTCCGGCTTCTTGAGCTAAATCAAACTGTCATGGGCACTCAGATTTTCAGGCACTCAGATTTTCAGCTACAATTGGTTTCTGCCTTCCATGAGGCTAAATCTGGCTGACAACAATTTTCCACTTATTTTACGGGCCACTCTCTTGCTCTCATCAGATAATTATAAGGGCCCTGGAAGCCCATCTTGCCTTCCTAGTTTTCCTTACAAAGAAGGAGATTGGCAAGTAGCACCTCACCAAGGGCACAAAGTTGGCCCACAAAACAGCAGTCCTTAGGTCTTATGGTTCAGTGCGCTTAAATGCCATTCACTGATGACAGCCCTTAATGTCACCCACCTTAAGCTCCATAAATGGGTAAAACTAGTAGGATGCAAGAGCATTTAGGTTCAAAGTCTTGAATTCTACTTGAATCCCAGTATAATTCAGTAATTCTTGTAAGACAGGGTCTCACTATGTAGCCCAGGCTGGCCAGTGCTGGGATTACAGGTGTGAGCCATCGCACCAGCTGACAATTACTATTATATTGTGTTATGTGTGTATGTGTGTGTCTCATGGTGCCCGTGTTGGGGGAGAGGGGTCAAAGGACAACTTTCAGAGTCAGTTCTCTCCTTCTATGATGTGACTCCAAGGGATCAAACTCAGATCATTAGGGTTAGCTGCAAATCATTTTACCTGCTGAACCATCACACTACCCCCTTAGTTGATAATTTTTTAAACTACAAAATGACCAGCTTCCCTATAATTTATCCTTAATCATTCTACTCCTGAGTTCCCATCCCCAATTCACTTGTCCCCATATCCAACATCTATACATATCTGAGAATAAATGGAGACCATCCTTCTATACCACACAGGCAGTTACAGCAGAGATTATCTGTGCCTGTGGGAGGAGTCCTGACTCTATCTGCTTGTGTTCTGAGTCCTGTCTTTCCCATTTTGCAGGTACTATTTCTGTTTAGTAAGGTCAAAAGGGATTACACTTGTACCTTGCTCTTAGGTTTATGATGATGATTAAATGGGACAATATAACCAAAAGTTTAAATGGAACAGCGACTTTTAAGTGGTCGGTGCTCCATAAATATCAGCCTTACACATTTCATATCTGAATGACATATCACACCATCACTGGCACTTTCGGAAAAGAGCCAGAGAAAGTCTGTCTTTTTCACCAAGCAAAACATTGACTCCACTTCACTCAATAAACTTGAAATAACTGAGGTAACATGGATTTATTTGGGGGCTTTGTGTTTGTTAAAAGTAACATGCAAGGGGACTAGAGAGATGTCTCTGCAGTTAAGAGTACTGATTGCTCCTGCAGAGGATCCGGGTTCAATTCCCAACACCCACATGGCAGCTAACAAACCATCTGTAACTCCAATTCCAGAGAATCTGACTCCTTCTTCTGACCTCCACAGGCATTGCAGGACTCAGGTGCACTTACACACATGCAGGCAATACACTCATACACATAAAAATAAAAATAAATAAAAGTAGCATGCAAAAGAATATTTTAATATTACATAAAATGCCTTTTAAGTTCCCTTTAAAAATCTCCAAGGCCCTTGCAGCTCTAAAATGTTGTGATTTAAGATAACTAATCTCCATTGCATGCCAATTAATATTGACACAGCTTTCTAAATATACTGGAAATTGTGACATCGTCTGACTGGGATGACTGGAAACAAGTTAGACCCAAGACTGGTGACCTGTAGCAATACAGAAGAAAATATTGCCCACTTTTCTCTACCAGTTGGAGGTCCAAGGTCCTATAGCTGCAAATGTGGAGAAGAAAACTGAGCTGTAATCTGCAGAGAATAAAGCATGGGCAAGGCTCCTCAGAATTTCAAGCAGAGCAAGTGAAGTAGGCAGAACCCCATGAAACGGTCTGCAGTTTCACCTTCAACCCTGACTAGAGAGCAAGCTACAGTTTACCTCAGGCAAGAGTCCCAGCTAACAAACATCATTTTAGAAATTAAGAAATTGGAACCTGGGGATGCGTTGATGGCTCAATTTGTAAAGTGTTTACCACACGAATGTGAAGATCTAACCCCCACATCAAATCCAGGTGTAGTGGTGTGCAGGAAGAAGTGCGGCCGAACAACCAGTGAGCCAGCGCTGCAAATGCTAAAAACATCTGGCTGAGGCAAACCTGTGTTCTGCCAAAAGACATAGAGAGGGCTGACGCAAATTGGCCTGATACAGAGAACCAACGAGGAACAGACACAACCTATCAATGGACCAATGGGACACTGGGAGGTGGGGATATAAGGGAGCCCCATATCCACAATAAAGGAGTCTGCAGCTGCTTGCACTGCCTGCTTCTCACCTGACTCCAGGTGTCTGTGTCCCGACTCCACGCCAACTCTACCCCCACCCAGAGGGCCCCAGGACACCCACAACATTGGTGCAGGTCTGCAACCCCAGAACCCATGTGGTGGACACAGGTGAATTCCTGGAGCTCACTGACCCATCAGTCTGGCTGAATTTGTGAGTTCCATGTTCAGTGAGAGACCTTGTCTCAAAAAATTAAGTTGAAAAGCAACTGAGGAATACACTTGACATTGACCTCTGACTTTCACAGGCACATGAACACACATGCACACACACACACAAATACATGTACACAGATAACACACATGCACACAAGCACATGAAATTAAAACCCAAAGAGATCAGTGAAAAACCCAAGATCAGCTTGGGTCTAAAAAATAGAACTACAGAATTTAAAGCAGTCATTATGTCCTGTGTGTACTATCTTTCCTCACCAGGCCATGTTTAGCTTTCTTCATTCACCTCCATTCAACCACCCCTTGTCAAAGGAAAACAGAGACTCTTCACAGTCTTGAATTCAAGAGAAATGCCTGGTTCACAACCAAGTCAGTGATGTGGTTCTTCCTTTAGATTTACCCTAGTATTTTAGAAATACATTAAATATTACAGTGACAATGGTGCTTCAAAACCCAAAGCAGGAAGAAACAAAACACCAGCAAGAAACACCTCAGGAATATTTTGTTTTACACAAGCACATACACTCCACTCCACCTAAAGAAGATACGGGGTGTGGGAGCCTAGTGATTATTTACAACTACATAGAACAGAACTCTTATGCTCCGCTTCCAAAAGAACACTTAACCCTGGGAAAACATCAGAAAATAAGCACTACTAGCCTGTGTTTATTGCTCCACTTCGTATACACTGATTTCCATGCATCTATTTACTCAGCTTTTCTTCAAAAGTACCCATCCAACTTGATCACCTAATTTATTTAATTCTACTTCATCCTCAGTTACTGAGTACTATTACGGATGACAAGTCCGACTCAGGCTTGTCTCTCATGCAACTCAAAAGTGGAACACACCATGCACACCAGAAGTGAAAGCATGAGGTACAGTGAAAGAAACCCCCAAGGCGTCCGCTGTGAAGTTCGTTGTCCTAGGGAACATTCCAGATGGGGGCTAGAGGGAGCTCCTAGGCAGCTGAGGGGAGAGGGAGGCCGCCAAGGCCCAGGGCTGCAGGTGATAGGCACCTGCGGTCCGGGCTGACCTCGGACCCTGGTGTCCCTGGAGAAGCGGGCGGGCGGCTCCCAGTGTCTCGCCATTGCCGTCCTCGGCCGCTCATTGGCCGCCCGCCCGCCTAGAGGAAGCCAGGCCGCCACGGGCCGCGGTGCACGCACCTGGTCACGGGGCTCGGCAGTGAAGCGGCGGCGACGCGGACTCCCGGTGGCAGCGAGCTCACCCCGGCGAGGCCTTGAGGGCGGCGGCCGGAGGCGGGGCGGGAAGGAGCGTGGCCAGGCGCGCTACAGCGCCACTCGGACGCGCAGGGCCCCGCCGGAGACCCCGAGGCCGCGGGAGAGGCCTGGCTGCTGTCGGAGACCCCTGGCGCCCGGGCGGGACCTGGCTTCACGCGGGGCGACAGAGCCCCGGCACCCTCCCTGGGCTGTGCAGCGAGGCCGTGCTCCACCCTGCGGGGCGCGGACGAGGCGCGGGGCCTGACCTGGGGGCTGTGCTTTAGCACAGGCTGTGCGGGCGGAAGGTCGGAGCTCCAAGGCCGGCTGAACCCCGTAGGTGTTTGTCTTTCTGAGACCCGCTGTGGACAAACCATTCAAAGGCCTGGCTTCTGGAAACCTTGCTTTGTGAACTGTCAATCCCCACCCCCCACCCCAGAGCCCCCGGGGGAAGCGATTAAACCATTATTTTGCCAGGCAAAGTGGCTCACGTCTGTAATCCCCGCAATAGGGAGGCTGAGGCACAGAGAGGATTGCCTTGACTGTGAGAGTACAAAGGGCTACAGAGTGGGCCTGTCAAAAAAACAGTCAAGTGAAAAATAAACCTTACTTTTTCCCCTCTGGTCAGCTGAAATGGGAAGGATTGTTAAAGAGGAGGCTCATGGAAGGCAGAGGCAATGATCTAAACTATATCAGAAAGTCTTTGGACATATAAAAAGATGCCCAGGAAGAAATACGCATTTCTGTTCACAAAGTACACACGTATTTTTAACGTTTTGTGTTTTGATAACTCTTAAATTCCTTTGCTTAACCAAGTTCTTATCAAAACCAGTTATCTTTGTGAAACACTGTGCAATTCTGGTCTTTCCTCTTAAGCACTTACACACACATACACACTTATTTTTTTAAGATGGAAAAACTTAGGCACAGAGATAATATGTGTTATCCCAGGATGCACGAGACTCTTGAGTTCCAGGCCAGCCTGGCCTACATAGGAAGACTCTCAAAAGAAAATAGTTAAAAAGAAGCCACATACTTACAAATAAAGGACGAAAAAGACAAATTAGACACGTGCTTGCACCACACACACACACACACACAAAGTTCCTTCACTTACATACATATAACCTTCAGACAACATTCCCTTTAAACTTTTGCTAGCCCTGTTGCCCATCACACAGAGTGTCACCTCTGTGAGGCACTCAGGTCTTTATGATATGGTTCTACTTGAACTTTCTCAGATGGTCTCTGGGGAACCATATACAGCCCCCCACCATCAAATTACATTTTCTTAAAACTATGTTGAATAAATAATTTTAATCTCCGATACCCTATGACTGTTATTTTTGTAAAATACAATTAAAAATCTACTAGTAATGCTGAAAAATAAGCTATAAAGCTACAATCTTAGTTTTTATTAGCACAAGTATTCAAATTACAAGTATAAAATTGCTCTTCCTTGTTAAAATTTCTAAATGCTTCCTCTTCTGTGATTTACTTCATCATGGACCAATAAAAACCAGTCCATAGACTATCACTGTGAGTGTACTTCAGGCAGCAGTGACTTGCTCTTTAAAGTGTGAGATACTTTTTGACCTCTGGGTCTTTTCTCAAGCTGTTCCTTGAGTGCTGATAAATTTTTCTTAAGGTTTGACTCACATGTAATAAGGGGAGCTTAACTTTTATTGAGTGATTTTTACTAAGAGTTTAGATGGATTAGCTATGGGTGTTTATCAGCCTTATAAGTGAGACATTATTATTATTCCACTTTATAGTTGAGGACATTGAGGGCTGGAGTGTTCAAGTCACACAACCAGTGAGGTCCAAGTCAGCATTCTAATCTGACCTGGTTTGATTCCAGAGCCCATCTATCCAAACATTATTCTAGGCCCTGTTCCATAAAGCCTCTTCATTTGCAAGTTGAAGTTAATCACTCTGTACATGTTCTTCTACTCTAACATTTCCCCCATTGGTTTTTATTAATTTTATCTCCATCAGTTTTAGAAGCATCCAGCTGCTGCTATAGTGACATTGTTGTATCTCCACAGCTCTTAACACTGGTCTCTCCAACTGAAACACCCTATAAGCCCTGAGCTCAGCTCCCACTAACCACTGGAAGTGCAGTTCATTCTTTGTGTTACCACTCTCTTCTGACTTCATGTGATAATTGTTGAATACATCCATGTCCCCTGCAGAACCTCAACCATTCACTCCATTCAGTTATCTACTATGCTATAGATATGCACTATCCCCACCCACCACAGGCCTTGATGTTGAATGTTTGCCAGTTGGCAATTCTGTTTTGGGAGTTTCTTTTTGGTTTGGAAACTTTAGCAAGTAGATTATTGAGGGTGTGCTTTTGAAAGTTATACCTGGTTTCCAATACCTTCCTTACTCTCTACTCCTGTCTGCTTCCTCGACTGCGTGTTACCACTGCTGTGATGTTCTGCCTGAATGCACATAGCCAAGCAACCATGAACTAAATCCTATGAAACCATGAACTAAATGAATCCTTCCCCTCTTAAGCTCTTAAGTATTTTGTCACAGTTTCATTAGATATTTTTTCCAGTTAACTATTTATTTAAAAACCACATACTTAGAAGAAGCATTTCATTACAACAGCATTGACATATTCAATAACAATTTTCTGAGCTAAGATGTATCTTTTTCAATATTGGTTGTAAATTTTTAGTTTTACAGTTGAACTGAATTATTATAGTTATACAATATTGTACTCAGTATAAACACTATAATACATAAAATTAAATAAGGTTTTAACCTTTAAAAAAGATCTCCATTTCATTATTAAAATACAGTTTCATACAGAAAATTTCATTTTCAATGCAATTGATATTAAGATATTTGCACATGCATTTCTAATCTTTATATATCTGATTATTACTAGAGACAGTCAGTTGTTTTCTGCGTTCTTTGGCATCTGAGCATGGATATAAAGTCAGGTAGATTTCAATGGTAATGTTTCTCACATCTACTAATAATTATTTTAATCATTATTTTTTTAATTTTTAATAACTACATGATTAGAAGCATTTCACTACAGATTTAACATATTCAGTAACATACTCTAGAGAAAGAGTATATCTCTTTCACAAGTGGGTGCAACTTTCTAGGTTCACAGTTGAGTTAATACAGTTATACAATATTGAACTCAGTATAAGCCCTGTAAGACATAAAATTGAATGAGTTTTTTAACCTTTAAAAAAGATCTCCATTTCATTTTAGAATATATTGCTCCTTGCAGAAAGACTCATTGTTTTTGCTACTAACACTGAGATGTTGGCGCATGAATCTCTAATCTGTATGCATCTGATTATTACTAGTCATAATCGGTTTCACTTGGACCCTTGGTGCCTGTGTATGTCTATCAAGTCATTGGGTGGATTTCAATGGTAATGTTTATCACCTCTACTAATTAGCATGATGGAAATTTCCATGCTTCCTTCCTCAAATATATTTTTTAAAAATTTGTTGATTTTTTTCTGTGTGTGTATACCACACAGAACATCACAAACCATCTTATTCGACTATGCACCGACTTTGCAGTTGGCACCCTCCCATAGCCTCCCTCCCCCACTAGAGCCCTTATATTCTAAAAATCCCTGCTACTGTCTGCTGTGTTGTCAGCACCCCAGCCAATCCCCACTACTTGCCTGTCTGTTGAATCCAGTCAGCCTATCTAGAGGTCTCTGTTTTAGGATGGTCAGCTGTTCCTCTTCTAGCAGCAATCAGTTGTCAATACTCCTTTAGATAATATTAGGGTCTGCTGTTCATTTTCCCAGTTCTATGCTGGGTTACTATTTGGGAGTCCCTTTGTTCGCCCTGACCAACAACTCAAAAGAAGGTATATCCTATCTGGAATTGTTGCTTGTTATGTAGCCTTTAGGTATGCATATGGACTCTTAAGAAATTATATTGGCCCCTTTAATCTTTGGTTATACTTTCCTTTTGGATGTTTAAGGCCATACAGCAGGCTCTGATAAACCAATTTATTTTTACTCTTAAGGTCATTTGAGTACCTGTTACTCAGAGGTCACATGGGCTTGGGAGGAGCCCCTGGTTCCTTTCTTTTACCAGTTCTGCCTATGTGAAGATAAGTCAAAGGTCCTACTCGACCATGGTTGGCTTCGCTTGGAAGCATGGAGGAAGTGATTCCTCTGTGTTGACCCTCCTCTTTGTAGACTGGACACTGGTTCAAGTTCATTTGGAGGGGTCTCCTTGGCCTCCTTGATCAAGAGGACAGGTGACATACCACCATTACAGGACATTTTGAGAGATGCTCATAGTTCCCTGGAACTGGTTGACATAGGAGGGCAAGGAGCAAAAACTGTCCGTTATGTCCCTCTGACCAAATTATTATAGGCCTCAAAGCATGTCTGTTAAACAACCATGAATGTTACTTCCACCAGTCTGGTACTTTTAATTACACTGTGCCATGTAGATAAATCTTGGGCAAAGACCAATTGCTCTCAGATAAACCTTACCTAGACATATGTTTCTTGATCTGCTATGTATAATTTGTCAGTAGGTTGTAGGAGTAATATGGTTCCCTCTGGTTTTCAAAACTAGCTAGGCATTATTTGTCTCTCGCATTTTCTCACCCCTCCACCATAGTTTTCCCACATAAGGTGCCCCCATTTCCCCCCTTTCTCCCTTACTAATACCGTTCTCCTACTGTCCTACCTCTCTCGATCTCCGTCTTTCCCCTTATGCCCTAGGTTCCTTGTATACCCTTCCCACCCCCCTCCCTTAAACTAACCCAATTTTTGTCTCTATCTCACTTATTAAGGCCTGTTTCCTACTGTTCTTCTCTTTCATGTTCTTGCTCTCCCTTTACCTCCCTGTTTCCTTTCAATTATCATGGTTCCTGTAGTTATGTTCTGGATACATACTCATCAGGGTTTGGTTCTAAGATCCACATATGAGGGAGAACATATGTTGATTTTTTTTTTCTGAGTCTGTGTTACTTCACTTAGTATAACAGTTTCTAGTTCCATTCATTTACCTGCAAATTTCATGATTTCATCTTTTTTTATTACTGAGTAAAGCTCCATCATATAAATGAACCACATTTTCATTATCCACTCATCAACTGAGGGACACTTAGGTTGCTTCCATTTCTTAGCTATTGTGAAAAGGGCAGCAACAAGCAGGGTGTACAAGTGCCTCTGCAATAGGGCATGGATGTTCAAGTGTCTCTGCAATAGGATGAGTTCTTTGGGTATATGCC